ACGCATGCGCAGGTGACGACTCTCCCGCTTTAAATGAATTAGGAATGTACTAATCTTTTCTGTTCTCTGGATGCAGTGATTTTAGAATGCTATTTTTTAAATTTTTGCGGAGAGAAATTGTATTAGCGCTCTGTGGATACATGTGAATATTAAACCATCTTGGCCTTTGCTAGATCAGAATACATTACGTTAGTGTTCACTGTCACGTGATGACCACTGTCCTCTACACATGTACTGTGTATTGTTGCTGGTTTACTAAATCATCAGTTATCAAAATTTTAAACTATATGTTTTATTTCCATGTGACTATAGAACACAAATAAAACCATTCCAACAATAATCCATCAACATAAATTCACAATTTTAATCGTTACATTGGCAGCAATGATGGTAAAAACATCGATATGAGAATACTGTAAACAGTAGCATCAATGTTACTTTGACTCTCTGACCCAAAATGGCGCCGCGAAACCGGCAACGGTGACAACTATATAGAGGGCGTCAATGCGAGAGATTCTACAAACTCGCTCGTTTTTTGAAGAATTATCATAGAAAATAAAAAAAAATTGCCACGACTTGACCAGTCTAGTCACTCATCAAAACGCCGTATTTTACTTAAAGCGGGGGAGTCGTCACCTGCGCATGTGTCAGATCACAGTCCCTCTATCATGATGGAGGGACTGTGGTCAGATGGCCATAGCGTGTCATTGTTTACAAACAAGCGTCTACCCACGAGTCTTTGCGTTTTTAGCGTGCGTAATTGTTATCGTCGCTTGGGACTGAAAAGTTACAAAATAATACGTGTATATATAATTTATTGAAAAGAAATTATTTTTAACTGCACTCAATAAAGTATAAATTTTTGAGGTGTGAAACATGGCAAGTGCCTCTTGTCTAGATTTGTTTTGATTCTAAAACCTGCCAGCCCCTTTGGGAGTTGATTAGGCACTTAAAAAATAATATAGCAAAAATTATAAGCTAAAGTACATTTCTGTATCTAAACTTGAACATAAACACCTATTGTTATGTAAAATAAAAATTTTAACAAAAATGAACAGTATCTTTGTATGAAAAACTAAACAGGAAATGTAACAGTAACAGTTGTCACCTACCCTGCTGGACATTCACATGCAGCTTGTTTTATCGTACCATTTGATAACATATTAATCACCACTGTGTAATTCTTTTTCTTCATTGAAGCTTTCACTTTTCCTTTCACTGTTGCTGTCATTTCTTCTTTTAATATTTCAATCTTTGTTACGTGACCTTCCGCAAAAAATGTAAACGCCTTCAGCTGCTTGTATCCAACCTTTTCCATGAAAGTTGGTGTGTATTTGGCGGACGTCACAACCAAATAACTGTACAGTTGCATGAATGTGAGCATCGGGGCAGGTCTGAGGTCTGAAGACCGTGTTCTACCATTAGTACTACGTAGCAACCCTTCCACTGACCAGGAACTATCATTTTCCTGCTCAATAATGACATCTTCAGCAATTAGTTCTGGCGACTGCGTTGATTCTGTTGCTGGCGTTCTCGATGAACTTGCCTCTGAATCGGCGGAAAAAACAACCAAATTCCTTGCAACCAGCTCGCTTTTGTTGCCATCAGCCTTCACACTTTTAGATTTTAAGATTACTTTCAGCTGTTTCACTGTTTTTTTTCTTCAGATCTTCGATCAACAAGTTCGTGTCTGTTATCGCCATGGCCTCTAAATATCATACTGACGACTTCCGTATCCCAACTAGGTCAAGTGCGCACTAAGCATTTCCGGTTGAATGCGCAAAAAGGCTATTCCCGCGCGTGCGCAGGTGACGACCCTCCTGCTTTATTATCCATTCTGGCACGTTTTTATGCGCAGTGTCGTTGCACAGTGACAGCATCCATCCAAAAATTAAACGTGGCGTATTTTGACCGATATTTGAATCAATACACGATTGTTTTTCCCACAAATTATAGTCAATGCAAAACTACTTACAGGAATGTACCTGATTGGCTACCGAATCTAAACAAATAGCAATCATACCAGCTTGTTTGATAGTTTTTTTTAACGTATCAAATTCTGTCTTGTATATATGCTTCGACTCAATTGACAAATACGGCATGCCCGAATATTGCCAGAGAGGGCGTCACTAATAGGATCTGCCTCATCTCCTCATTGATTGTAGGTGAGGGGGGGGGGTATGTGTAAAGAAACCAAGTCAACATTGCCGATTTTCCAGCCACCCAATACTGTAATGTAATCCCATGAATTAAAAAAAAATCTTTTGTAAAGTTATACCTAGAGGGTCTATGGTTATACCTATCAGTGTATGCATTCACTTCACTAACACACGAACAAACTTGAAGTACGTTACATAAGTCACTGGCCAGTTCAGGATCTTTTTACGGAAATTCCATTTATCAATATTCATGATATTCATAATCCAATGGCGGATTTAGTGAGCGGGAGGGTCGTAGCACGTACCCTAAATCCGTCGGCACCCATGGTGCAACGGGTAATGAAATTATGGTAAAGGTGAGCTTCCTCACCCCAACATCCTGTACCCGTCTCTAATTCCATACATTTTACGATATTTGACTTTTCAATAATAGAATGTACCGCGGAAAGTGGCCTTGGATGTTGCTTGTGGAACAGGTCAAAGTTCAAGATTATTCGGCAAATATTTTGAAGAGGTGATAGGTTGCGATGTCAGCGGTACTCAGATTACCGAGGCACAGAACACAGAAAAAATACCGAACATCACGTACAAGTAAGCTTCAGTACAAAAGAAAATATGGACAACTTTGAGTATTTTTGAGCATGGTTTAAGCTTTTTCGACAATCCGTCCACTCTAACATAGCGAATATGAATAATAAAACAACGTTGGCTGGACAGCAAACAACAATATTTATACCATGAAATAATGAACACACCAGTGCGCATGCGCTTCCAATTAACTCTACACCCAGACTGAGGTAACTCCAGACATGGAGGTATAAACAGATACCTCCATGCTCCGGACGTATGCAGCCTTGCGTACGTGTTTCAATGTTTCATCATGCTTATTTTGCTGTTTGCATTTATTATATATTAAATGTTTCTATCAAGGTTTAATATCAAACAAAATTATTATAACATGTAGACTT